GGGGCCTGAACTCTGGGCCTGGGCGCTGTCCCTCAGCTCTTCAGCTCAAGGCTAGTGCTCTACCACTTGAGCCACAGCACCACTTCCGGCTTTTTTTCTGCTTATGTGGTGCTGAGGAATTGAACCCAGGGCCTCATGCATGCAAGGCAAGTGCTCTACCACTGAGCCAACTTCCCAACCCCACTTTCTATGGTTTTTAAAGTAACACCTCTGTGGATCTAGCTCCCAAAGCAATTTCTATGTGATATTACTATTCTCTCTCCACCCCGCATCCCCCCCCCCCGAATGATGGTGAGACCACATTAGATCCTTGTGCTTGCTGAAACTAATTTAAAATAAATTTATATTATTTATTGTCCAGGAAAATGAGAAGTCGTCCTCCTCATTACCTGTTACCGCCCCCCCTCCCACCCCCAAAGCTGTACAATGTGTCCTACAGAGCAATCTACATGTGCGATTATATGAGCACGTTCCCAGGTAGGCTGGCAAACCACAGAACATCACTGGCTTTACTCTACATGTACTTCCTCTACTTCCCAGTCTCCTAGATGTATTTCTTCCCAGTTTTGTTAGTTACAGACACATAATTATCTTCACAAATCATATAAACACAAGTTTTCCTGTGGAGAAAGCGAAGGATTTGTCTTCTATATACTAGACATGTGCTGATTGTCACTAAGTGTTTAAAATGCTACCTGGTTAATCTTCACGATTGAAAAGTACCATCAGACTACAAAGAGGGGTAACATGGACAGTAATAATTATTTTGCATAATGACACTAAATGTAACTTTTCAAGTCCACAGCAGGTCCCAATACAATTACATACTTGGCTGAGCTTCAGCTTTATCTTCATTATCATTTGGCACACTTTGACTACGGCAAATTGTGAGAAATGACACAACAATGAACAGGTACAAGCACTCTTTCCCACTGGTGTATCCAGCTGGTACTGATGAAAACTGCTCCAAATGGCCTATTTCTTATTATGCCAAGAACAAGAACGGAGCCTTCTTGAATTAAACAAAAATTTAATTTTAATGTTACATTTGAAGGATCAAATTCAAACCCTAATCCAAAACAGAATTAAGACTTTTAAATTGTGTCTAATATCAATAAATGGTTAACTAATAGTATTTATAACCAACCATTCCATCCTGAGAAGAAATCAATTCACAATCTACTGCTAATAAAGGCACTTACCAATTCTTTCACTCTGCTTTTTTCTAGGTTGAAATCTAACTTGGTATCTGTGCGCACTTTGATTACTTCATCCTGGTCAGAGGGCAAATGACAAAGACAAAGAGAAATCCTGAGTAAGAAATCCAAGGGGCTAGGAATGTGGCTGGCTTGGTGGTAGAGTGCTTGCCTAACAAGCGTGAAGCCCTGGGTTTGATTCCTCAGTGCCACATAAACAGAAAAAGCTGGAAGTGGTGTTGTGGCTCAAGTGGTAGAGTGCTAGCCTTGAGCAAAAAGAAGCTCAGGGACAGTGCCCAGGCCCTGAGTTCAAGCCTCAGGACTGGCAAAAAAAAAAAGAAAGAAAAGAAATCCAAGAAGCCTAGGACCCCTTGCTGCCTCTCTCTAAGGGAGCCAGTCTAGGGAAGGAAATAGGGCTGGGGCCTGATGTCGGGGGCTGGGGATAAAGTAAAACTGAAGCCAACTCTGTCTCTGGGCCTCCCCTTTGGTGCTCAGTCTGGACTAGACAGAGAATTATTGCTTTCAACCTCAAGATTCTCCCATATAATCTCCCTTGAGGAATTTATGAATAAAGCAGTTCCTAAGACCACCTGGAAAGCAAAGATGGGCTCAAATATTAACTTCTGGTTTAAATAAAATTATTTACTTCAAGCTCATCAATGTATTTTATAACATCAATGTCCTTTCTACTTAAAAAAAAAGTCAAGCCAGGTGCGGGTGTCTCACACTTGTAAACCTAGTTACAGGGAGGCTAAAATGTGAGGATCAAGGTTTGAAGACAGCCTCAGTGGGAAAGCCTGTGAGACTCTTATCTCCAATTAACTACCAAAAAAGCTGGAAGTGAAGCTCCGGCTCAAGTGGTAGAGAGCTATCCTTGAGCAAAAGAAGCTCAGGGACAATACTCAGGCCCTGAGATTAAGCCCCAGTACTGGGGCTTAACAAAAGAAAACAAAAGAAACAAAACTGCTGGCCTGGTAAATATGGAAAAACTATATACAATCCTCTACAGTAAGTCTCTATTTGGCTACTTTAGAACAGTATTAATTTAAAAATAATTTAGCCAGGCCTACTGGTACACACCCGTAACCCAACATTTGGGAGACTGAGGCAAAAGGATCATGAGTTTGAGGCCAGCTTGGTCTACACAGTAAGACCCTAGGGAGGAAGGAGGGGGGGGGGGAAGGACATCACTCCTCCTAGAACACTATTTTCTTAATGCATTTGGATAGACATTGGTCATTTACTTATTGGCTGTGTTCCAATGTGTGCTTCTGAGGCATGTTATACAATCATTTCACATAGAATTAGGTTTTTAAGAACATGACACTATTTTATTAGTTTCTGTAATTACAAACAAACTTGCAAACAAGAAGGAGAATCTTACCATTACTTGTTGTTTTAGCTGATGTAGCTCAAGTTTTATTTTCTGAAAATACATTTAAAAAGAAATTAAACATATATTTAGAAAGAGGAAAAAATAGAAAACTTGGCAATAAGCAAATATTACAATATTAACTTATGCACAAGATTTTCACCTTCTTCCCTTACCACAAACCTGACTATATTCAGAACACAACGCTAATGATAGCTGTACAATGCACAGGAAGACCATAAGATTAGTTTTAATTCCATCTTGAAGATTACCTAAAGTGATTAACACACTGCCCCTTCAGTGAACCTGCTTTCTTTCACCCTTGAGTTTTTCTTTCAACTAACACTGTCCTTAACTGGCTGATTTCAAAGGTGACTTTGAGAGTTCAACATCCAATAAACAGTTCCCTTTGGGACGCTAAATAAGGCTGAAGACAAGAATGAGATGCAAGGAGAGTACTTAAAAAGACAGAAAAGGATATTCTGTAGCACCACCTTTCTATAACAAGCTGAAACTGGGAACAACTGCAACACACATCCCAGGGGAAGGCTGCAGCACAGGAGTGTTACACCAGACAATGAAAAAGGAAGATCTCTTGCTACAAGGCACACCATTCACTTCCATTAGTAAAACTCCAGAAGAGGCCAAACTAGTCCATGGTGGCTTCCTTTGGGAGGAGGGACTAGAAAACACCCAAGTAGACCTCTGGGGGCTAGCACTCATGTGTCCTGACCTGATCAGCAGTGTACATAAAAATTCTCCATGGGGACATTTACTTGTGTGCTTCTATGTACATGGAGCTCAATGTCTTTAAAGCAATCTTTTGAGTGCTCTGTAGTTTTACCTCATTTTCTGCTCTGAGGGCTGAAAACTCACTCTTTTCCAAAATAATCATATCCTTTTTCACATTGGCAATCTTGGACATTATTTGCTGAAGAGTAATTTCCTAGGAAAAGAACAAAAACATATTCTAGTTCAGCTCAAATCCATCTGCTGTCGTTCCGTCTGCCATCATCTTACTAAAAACCTAGAAGAGGGTAGACAAGGGGGGCCCTCAGAAAGGTCACCCTCCATTCCAATATGAGAAGACAAGTAAAATACCCACAGCAGGATACACACAGCAATAGCAATACCAAGTGAACTACAGTTGAGAAGTTAGTCTGTGGATTCAAGAACACGACACTGTAACACCACACTTCTTGCTATATCTGTCTTAATTAAAGTACTCTTAACTGAATAATTGCTTTTCAAGCATAGTAAACTAT